ATTTTAGTTCAGTGGTAGTTTTAATTAGTATCTCTCTCTCTTCTCTCTCTCTCTCTCTCTCTCTCTCTCTCCCTCAACCTCTCCCTCTCCCTCTCCCTCTCCCTCTCCCTCTCTCTCCCCCCCACCACACACACATACATCCAAATAGGAATCTTGAGATTTGCCCTTTCCCAAATGATTAAGCTCAAATGGTTTGCATTGGCAAACAGAGTACTTTTGAGTCTCATATTGGAAAACAATATCAAAGTTCACAGCAGTAAAACCGCCATAGACACACATGCAAATACACATGATCATGGACTTTGAACAGGGAGAACTTACTTGATCTGAGATATGACTGGAGCTCAGGTTCCCAATTTTGCAAAGCTCTGCTTATTCCAAGACGAATGGCTCCAGCTTGACCTGCAATGGTAAAGAAAGGAAGGGAGCCTCAACCTCTAATGCAAATATTCTATAGGAGACTCATAAATTCTTATCAAGTAAAGAATTTAACTCAAGCATCGCCTTCTCTACTAGTGAGTAGCAGGCCTTGTGTTTGAATATGTCTAAATATCTAGTTTCCCATTAAATTTAAGGCAAGGGATGTGAGAAAGAGAAACAATCAAACTTACACATTGGAAAAAATACGTTCATGCAAATATCACATTAATGAGCCTAAGCAGATTTAAGTTATATCAGTGCACTCATGCCAAATATGACTCCATTTGTTTTCAACAAATAATAATTGGTCAAATAACAACAATCTAAGGAAAAAATAGATTATTCAGCAACAAACATGACAGAAGAAAAATACAATAAATCCAAGCCCTCAGTAATCCTTAATTAGCCTATCAATGATAGCATGAACCTCTCTTAGGACGACTTATGCTGCCGACATCTATAGAAGAAAACATATAGAGGTTAAAGCATTAACCCCACATGTATCTTCATGGGTATGGCTACTCATTTTCTTTTCTTCCCCCCCACCTTAAAGAGATAATGAATATGTGGACTGGTCCTCAGCCATCAGACAATTGAAATTCAAATGCCCAAGTCCAAGGCTTCGGCTCAACAATCTTCCACATATATAAGACCAGCTCAAAATTCATCATTTTTCACTTGAATCACTCTCTCATCATGTTCTAATATTGTCTTCTCCATTCTTGTGAAACTTTCAATTTATCAGTTGGCTTTTAATTCAACTTTTTATTCCTATAACTTAGGCCAGCAAGAAGAGTAGCCTAGTGGAGGGCTTGATGGGTTTGGTGTTGGTGTTACGGATTCGAACTGAATTAATTTAAGATAATAAAGTAACATGTTCCCACAATGGGGAAATAAGCTTCTCGTTTGAAAGAAAATGTTTCATGGTGATTGCCATATCTTTCAAGGAACTCTACTGCTTTCATCATCTCATCAAAATGGCATTTCCTAGCAAGTAGTAGCAATTGACAAAACCTGTTTAAACCTTTTAATTTAATGTATGTACTTGAATACAATTTCAAACAGCGTTTTCTCACATATTCATGTTTATCAATTACAGCTTTTAGCAGAAAAGAAAATGTTTATCAATGATTAAGAGCACGTGTGTGCACACATTCACACAATGTTTCAAAAAGTGCTAGGTGGCACCTATGCGGTTGGGGGGGTCCAGGCCGCCCAGCGCTTAGGCGGGCGCCCAAAACCTGGGCAGCCTAGTAAAAAAAAAAATTGGGTTTTCTCTCTCTAAAATAGCCTCTAATGGGTTTTAGATTTCAGATAAACCTAAAACCCACAATTTTTCCCCTTTCGTATTAAAAAAATGACTCATAAATACCCTCAGTGAGCCGCATTTCCACCCCTGAGTGGGGTCCAGGCCCAGCCGCCTAGGCAGGCACCTAGGGGGGTTCCCGGGCACCTAGGCAGGCGCCCAAGGATATCCGCCTAGTTTGGCCACCTAGACCTGGGCGCATCGCCCAGGCCTTCTGGACCGCCTAGGCGCTGGGCGGTTCGCTTTTTAAAACTATGCATTCCCACATCATGTTGTACAAGTTCTCACCCCCAAAAGAAGATGTATACACCTGGTATGCATTTCAAGGAGTAGAAGAATAGTTCCCATCTAGAGAACCCCTGTAATCAGTCCAATCTTAGCTATGGATTTGCTTTTGCAAGCATTGTGCAACCAGAAGTGCGCTGTGTTGATGATGTTCTTAAGTAGTTTCTAATTGTTATTAAAATGGGTTGTAGTTTGGAATTGTTAAAAATAACAACTAATTTTAGCTTTTTTGTCTATCTAATATTTCATACTCTCTAAATTTTTCAAAAAAGGTTAGGCAACATCCGATATTGCAGTTAGTATTTTATTATCTGTGGGCACTATTGCATGTTAAAATCGATGAGATGTCAATGATATGGTTGGTGTATTAGTATCTTTGTGGTAGCCATGTCAATATCACTATCACTACCATCCTGTACAATTCTAGTGGCAACAACAAAAGAGAATCAAGTGATAGTAGTTTTTATCAATAGTTGTATTAAATGAGAATATTGACAAACTAAACTACAATCTGGAAGTTTATCATCTTCCTAAACAGTAGGTGGAATAGCATATCAGATTAAATAACAAGAGAAACTTGGCATCCCGAAATTATTTAAGTATATCATGCACCAATGGCACATCATATATGTACCCTGCAGGAATATGCATCAAAAGCTGCAGAAGGTAGATATTGGAGACAAGTTCATTGACATCACCAGGTACAGCTAATCATCAGGGATGCATATAGTGGATGTTCCTATGGTGTATCATACACGATAAGCCATGATTTAAATGGTTAAATTCATTAAAAAGACACTATTTAAATGGTTAAATTCATTAAAAAGCCATCTACAAACCCTTTCAATATACATCAACTCTCTACAAATGCTTACCTGATACACCACCTCCTGTCACAGTTCACTTCACATCCCAAAGACCCAGAGTCTTGGTCTCAACAAATGGTTTCAGAAGATCAATACGATGGCCGAGGATTGGAAAATAAACATCGAATTGCTTGTCATTGACAATAAATTTTCCATCACCAGGTTGAACCCAAACACGAGCTATGCTACATTTCCTCCTTCCAGTACCATATGCCCTTCCTTTTTCATCAACTTCTCTTACATATGATTTAGCTATTTCTTCCTGTTTTTGGCGCTCCATTTCAAATCTAGGGGATTTCTTTTCACTTTTTGCCAGGCAGGCATCCTCAATCTCACTAAGAGGTGGTAATCCCTCAATGCCTTCCAAGTCCTTTAGGGCAATCAAGCTATCAAGCATAACCTCTGTGATTCCTGAAGCAGCAATCAGGTCTCCAAATGCACGATCAGGACCTGTCATTTGAAAAAGAAGACAATCAACAAAATGTTATTATAATCGTACAATTCATTAACAAAATGTTATGTTAATCATTAAACACACAATGCTATAAACTTCAAGGGTAGGGTTTTAATGGAGAAAGCACATGTCTGCAGTCTACACTCCATTAGCATTTAGTTCTTTTTAGCTCTTATCAAGAGTTAAAATTTGATGCAAACCACTCTCATTGCCTTAAATTAATTCTCCACATTATATTAATGCAGTTACAAACAGCTATTACCACTTAGTTGTAACAACAAGCATATCGTTCATTTTATATACAGCATGGTTATAAATGTTCTCTCTCAAAACCAGTGATTAAAAAATCAGTGACTCAAGCTCGGACATGCCAGAGTCACTCTGACCCAGCCCCAGATAAAAAACACTGAGACTTGGGTGATCTCACAGACTCACACCCCCTCTGTGTATTTTTTACAGGGACTTGCAGTGTTGGACCGCGGACCAGGCCGAGTAGGAATCTGACTCAGGCTTGTGACCTGGCGAGTCCAAGCCAAGTCAGGGATTTTAATCACTGCCCAAAACCTCCTAAGTACCCAACATGCACCCATCTAATACCAACTCCCTTATTTTTTTCTTTAGCTATTTGGCTACAGTTTGCCTGCCAAAATAATATAAGACAAGGATATTTAGTTTTAGCCAGATAGTAATCAACAGTATGAAAAACACTAAACTTTAACCACGATCACTTCATACAATATGATAATATACATGCCAACATGGGGATAGAAATAAGAAGCTTATCCAGTAGTGCTAAGGAGAAGATTTGCCAAATTTACAACACCAAGCAAAAGTAAGAAGAAATCAAGAGGCAAAGGTGGCTGAATTAACAAGTTGAAAAGTACGAGTTCAATAAGATGTTGAGTTTCACTTTGAAGCAAGCAATGTTCAATATATGGCAAGAGAAAATGCAATTTGAACCAAATGTTTTCAATGGAGCTTTCTTCCAGGTATTCCGGGAGATTGTGAAATAGGACATTTTGGACTAATTCCACAGCCAAAAGAGGATGATTGAAGTACTTATTACAAGAGTTATTACCTTATTCCCAAAAGGGTTATGAATGACCTATTCGTGTAATAAGCTTTGCTATAGCGTATAACAGTCATTACTGTAGCCCTAGCCAGAGGAATCAAGGAGCACATGCTTATTGTAATTTAGACATCCCAAAGAGAGCTTTGCTAATAAATGAAAAGGGCGTGGGTCTAGATGGCAGAGGCTAGGTTTTAATAGCCCAACGTCTCAAGTTCCATTCGTATGTAACCATGTCAAAAAAAAAAGAAGAGAACTTTGCTAATAAAGGAGATATTTGAAGGGTTGAGACATGACTTGTGAGTTGAGACATAAATGCAGAAACCTGGGCATACTCCTGTTTTTTTCAAATTGTTAACGAAATTCATTAAACAATCTGATTCAGAAGCTACAACAGATGAAAGTCAAGTAGCAACTAATTGAGCCTATCTCCTAAATGGTCAACAGAAGATCTTACATGGTAGATCCCTACAACAAAAAAGATTGAAGGACATTGTCTTCGTGTGTGGTTGTCTTTATTTTTCATCTTCTTTCCGTTTTTATATGGGTTTTTCTTTTTGTTTTGGGGTTGGGGGGAGGGGTATGGAGGAACATATAAGAAGATGAGGTGTCAATCCATTGCAAAATGGTTCTAAAATTACAGCAATACCATTTAGCAGGGTCATTCCCATTATTGGACTCAAGATTGACTGCATTATAAATTATACCTTTGAATCCCAGGGTGAGCTGTATGAGCATGAAAAACGAACACTGGATGAGGAATACAAGGAGTCAATATTTTATCTCGACAAGATCAAGGCCTTGTGGAAGATACAAGATATAGACATGCACATTGTTCGAAATATTTGGATGAAGATAACTTCTACGATTATAAAAAAGAGGGATCACAGGCAAACTTCTCAGTTAATTTCCCAGATGAATTGTGTCCCTCATATCATGTTGAGAACTTCTCTTAATTATTTGAAATACAGGACAAGGAAATCACAAATGCAGGGAGGAGAAGTTTCTGCGACTGACAACTGATAATCCAACTACCTATCTAACGAAGAAGATAAGACAATTATTTTCAGCATCATGTGTCATGGCAGATGCACACTACATTGGTTTAATCTTAGAAGGTCGGTGAGAACTCCAAAGCATCTAGCCCCACATGAAAAAGACAAGCTTCCACCATAATCACAAGTAGGAATCAAACTTAGGCCTGATACAGATACCTGGAAATGGATCTCTAGAAGACTCATCTCCATGGACACCAGGCATTTTTGCAGTTTGGATGCAATCTAGAAATATCCGTGTGGATATCTGTATCCATCTTTTGAGGCCAAAACATGGAGATGTGTATTCCACCAAAAAAATAATATAATAATTATTTATAACAATTATTATAATACAATAGTATTAATATAATCCAAACAGTGGACATGCATCTTTTAGGTCTCTTATCAGATGCTATTTCAAACAACAAACACTCATATTCTAAGAGAAGCCAATTCCAAGAGATGTCAATTCCAGGATAGGCATCTCCCGAGGACATGCATATCCAACTATCCAAATGGGCCCTTGATGACAAAAGCATGTGGATACGGATAGTGCCATATGGCTAGAGAAACTAAATTTTCGAAATCACACATCACTGCAAAATTCAAATTGAAGAAGGTGTCCGTCTTTGATGTCTGCAAGTTGATAATACAATGACTATGTAAATCATAAGTGGTAAATCTAGTAAAAAGGAGCACATATGGAGTGAGATATTAAGGCTAGAGATTTTAAAATTAGCCGGACTATGGAATGCAAGTTTAATAATAATAATAGGAGTAGAGATGAGGAAGTCGTTAAGATTGACGGCCAAGAAATACTAAAAAGAGCGCACTTCCGATATCTTGGGTCAATAATCCAAAGAAATAGAGAGATTGAGGAAGGTGTCGCACATTGAATTAGAGCTAAGTGGGCGAGGTGAAGATGTGCAACTGGAGTGTTATATGATTGTCGCATACCAATAAAACTGAAGCGCAAGTTCTATAGGACAATTGTGAGACCAGCTTTGCTTTATGGAGCAGAATGTTGGGAGGTCAAGAAACAACATATCCATAGAATGAGGATGTTGAGATGGATGAGTGGCAAGATAAGTAGGGATAGAATTCAAAATGAATACATTTGGGAGAATTTAGGTGTGGTACCAATAGGCAATAAGATGAGACAAAGTAGACAGGTGGGCTAGCCATGCGCAAGGCAGACCCAGTACAACACCTGTTAGGAGTTGTGAGTTGGTTTAAATGGAAGGCTAAAAAAGGATAAGGGGTAGGCTTAAAAGGACATGGTCCTCAATAGAGCAGAATCGCTGACCAGGATTCATATAGCCAACTCCAAATAGTTGGGAAAAGGCGCTGACAATGATGATGATGATGATCGCTCTATTCGATATCATCACTGCAAAGCATTCCTTTAAAATGGAAAGACAACATCAATATCAAATGATTGTAGTACTAATAAAATTGCATATTCAAATCTTGGCAGTGAAGTTGAAATAATAATATGTCAATAGAAAATTTTGAGGTTCAAAAGAGCAAGGAGCCAATGGAACACATCTTTTGAGGACATTTGTCGTAAAATACAAATTAATATTGGGTTCCCACGCAAGGCCATCGACAAACATACATAAGCCACAAAGGGGGAATGCATGTCTTGGAACAAAATTTTGGCAAACTACAAATGTCAAAGGAGATAAGCAATTGCATTAAAACATCTATAAAGGGGGAATGCATGTCCTGGAAGACCATCAATGTCAAAGGAAACAGTTGCACTTGAACATCCATACAGAAGTTAAAACGATGATTGTGTGATTGCTTTATTCAATAAAGAACAATTTATATTATTGTCTCCAATATACCATTTTTTCCTAAATATAGAATGCATAACTACCTTCTATTTGCAATGCTATCATAGTAACAATGTTGGGAGTTGCAGTAGATATACCTAGAATTGAAACAAATGTTCATTAAGGTTTTGATCATGACAAACTTTGCTTTTGGTAGTAACTGAGACTGGAAAAATTCATCTATGACAAGGTCAGCAAGTCAGTATATGTGGACAACTACAGTCTACGCAGTTCAGAAGGCATCTAGAGAAGTATAATCCAGGAATCTTGATTACGAGTTTCCACACTGTTGGTTCACTTGATTGGTAGAGAAGGAAATGCCCCTCTTGACAACCAATGGAACCCCTCACCTGAGCTTAGCATTTCATATGAACCTTAGGTTATTAATAATGGAACCCACCAACCAAAAGCCATAGAGGGTAGTTGTGAATAGGGGATTGTCTAGATGGTGCTAATGGAAGATATGAGCATATCAAGTCACCATCATCATGTGATGAGGCCAGTCAACCAAATGATACTCGTAATAAGCTGAAAGAGATAGGATGAACAAACAATAGGAAAGATGCCCATCATGAGGATCCTATGGAGTATTGTCCCGTGACCATGAACAAGTTTAACTGAACCATGAATAAGGCAGTATGACAACTCTCAATGATTTCATTTTGGGAAGGTGAAATCCATACAAATGATATAATGTTTGTGCCATAATAAACATATTGAAACTTGTTACAAGTATCAAACGGATTGAAATTGGATCAATTTTAAGCATGCCCTGGTGGAATGTTATTAAGAAAAACCATGAATGTCAAATGAAATCTAACGATGAAATTTTATTTCATAGTTTGCATCTACACATATAATGCAATATACACGTACAAACTGCAAAACAAAAGGTAATAAATATACAAGTACTACTAAACTATGTAATGCTGAGATATACATAATATATGTGCGCGCACGCACACACGCACACACACACACACACCGTATTTCCATGAGCTAATTTCTACAGCATTATCTTCAGCCCAAAACCTTATAAAAAATATATCTAGGGGCCTCTGTTTGAACCCAATTTTTGCACATACACTCTCTTGAACCCTAGGAACAATCTCAAACAAGGGAAAAAGAGAGAAAACCGATTTCTACAGGCGAGAGAAAATTCCGTAGAGGTAGGTCCTTCATTTTAGATCTATTCCTTTAAGAGCCAGTGTTTTAAAATGCGGAATGCGACCGAAAGCGGTGAGGGGGCCGGTGCGGCTCGACGCAGTCCGAATGCAGGTGCATCGCAGCAATGCGGTTAATAAATATAAAAAAAGGATTAAATTTTTTTTAAAAACTAGGTTAATGCATAGAAAAGAATATGGAGGTGATACATGTGATAGTAAGTATTTAGTTTATTCATTAACTCCAAAAGTATTAGCTGTTGGAGATTCTGTATCCACTATCCCCTGATAGAAACTAGAAACTAGCTTCAAAAAACATTCAACAATCAACATGAATAAGCACAAATCTTCAACCAAGAACTTTAAAGTTACAAGATACTACAAACTAAAAGTCCATGAAGATGAAATAAAAAATTCACTAGAGAAACAAAAGTCCATGAAAATAGCAATTTCAAAGAGAAATAAAAATCGTTTGTGGGCAGTTAACAGACTAGATCGATGATTTTTATCCAATCGATCACATAAACGCCATGGACGTGGCTGAAAATTGTTGTTTGGGGGGTTTAATACCCCCCACCCTCCCCACCCCCACAAACCCTTGGCCCCAATTTTAAAGTCAAAATGGCCTTACTACCCCTACCCGACAGGTACAGTTTTGAAAAAAAATGGTGAAAAATTATGCGGCTGATGCGGGATGTGGCTCTGATGCGGTGATTTTCAATGCGCTGCCCAGCGCATAACGCATGATGCGGTCGCAGTTTGTGTCTTAGAAATTTGTGCGTGTGTATGTTTGTGGGCGTGGTTTGTATAAGGTGTAAAACTTAAACAATCAAAGTAAGGCCACCTCTAAGTCTTATTAAAACATGTAATTCCAGTGCTGGAAATCCTAACAATGGCCTAAAAGTCTATTTCTACCCCCAATTAAGAAATTTAAAGCACCAAATAGTTTGAATCGAGTGATCCATAAACACTTAAAACTCTGAAAATGTATGGCCTAGATAATGCGTTACAATATGCACTAATTTTAGAACTTGAAATCCATTTTTTTAGTATCCATACATTTCGAGCTCAAGATGATCATCAATTGTAGTGTTTTTCAAAGTCATAACAATCTTTTCGAGTGGATCTTTTAGATGCACCATACTTCTATTATAATGCAAGGTTGACACCATAATATATATATATATATGGGACTGATTTGTATGACCCTCAAAAAATTACACACACCCTCTCTTCATCCCAAGAATCAATCCAAATAAAATAAAATTTAACTATCACCCTATCAAAATGAGCCCCCCTTCAACAATTATCTAGACCATCCATTTGGTAAATTTCAAGATCCAGGCCTTTATGATCTCAAAATCATTTTTGCCTTTTTAACATTGTTCATCCAATGATAAT